AGCTCTGCGTCCCCTCTCATGTTGTTGGCCAAGAGACACATCCATGCAGAGGACATAAATGAGCATGAGAAGAGCTTCCATGTGACCCTTCTGTAGGACAGCCCCCATACCCGCCCACCACCATTCTCCCTTCTTCCCTTCTTTATTTATAATTCCTTTGCTTCCACCACTGACATCCTTCCTTGCCTCTTTTCTTTATCCTGCTGAACATCCCCTAATGTGTATCTGCCCTTAGCTCCTGGGCCTTTCTGAAGTTTTGCAAAAATGTTCTATTATTCACCTGTGCACACAAGCATCAGGAGGAAGGGGGTGAGGGGAGAAAGATGAGTCCTATTTTTTTTTATTTTGGATTGTTAAAGTTGTGTAAGACTTGGGGGAAAATATCATCACTAAAATAATTTTATAATATTTAAAGAAATCTTAAAAGAAAGTATTTCTCACCTAGAATCTAGCCCCTTAATCTTACAAGAGCTTGCTGTTTTATGTCCCTTCCAACATGTCCCCATAAATCTAATCTGGAACATAGTAATACAGACTGTAATATTTGTGTTTTTCCTTAACATTATTTCAGAAAGTTTCCTTTTACATAGACTTTATGAGTTTAATGACTTCAAAACACACCCTTGCCTGACCATACCATGGTTGACCTTCCACCTATTAGACACGTAGGTCATTTTAAGGACTTTAGCTTTTGTATTTTATGTTGCTGAACCATGTCTCACCCTAGTTGATTTCCTCTTTTGCAATGACTTCCTTGGGATAATTTCCAGGGGCGGGACTCTACGTTGAACTCGAAGACTGTGTCACAACTCCCACTCTGTGTTGTTAGCTTGCTTTCCAAAAATGGTGGCATTTCCAAAATGGCACCGATAGTGCCATCCTCAGGGGACGACTTTACCAAGAACTCCAACTGAGATTTTACCAAGCACAGTCCCAAATGTCCCTCTAAGTTAATGGTCCAATGACAGTCCATGAGAACCATTCTCGGCCACATCAGCACCCCCCAAATCCCACTTCTTCTAGAGGACCATCTGCCAGAACCAATATGCTCTTCTATTTTGCTGAGAGTCTGATGTCTCAGGAATTAAAAATACCTCCCCTTCCCTCCCTATCTGTTCTTCTTATCCATCTGACAGAGGCAGCTGGTCCTGCTCTGATGTTAGCTTCCATCCCAGGTGTGAAGTCCAGGCCCTCGCCACAGAGGATGGCTGGCTCCAGGATGAGTGGCCCATTACCTGCAAGTCTAGGCAGAGCTGTCCATAAACTTCATCCATAGCCCTGGTCCTCTGTGGCCCATCCTCTTGCCCCAGGTCCTGCTACCTCCTGTGGATTACTGTCTGCCTCTGTGGAATTACCTATTCTGGATATTTCATGTCAATGGAATCATATGATATTTGGTCACTTGCAACTGGCCTATATCACTTGACAAAACGTTTGCAAGATTCACCCATGTTGTAGCAGGTGTCAGGACGTCCTTTGTTTTTACTGCTAAATAATATTCCACAATATTGGACATATCGTGTTTTATTACCTATTTGTTATCTAGATGTTTGGATTATTTCCACTTCTTGGCTATCATGAAGAATGCTGCTGTGAACATCGTGCATGAAGTTTTCCATGGACTTGTTTTCATTTCTCTTGGCTATAGACCTAGGAGTAAAATTGCTGGGTCACATGCTGACTGTTGACACGTGGGAGGAACTGCCAGCCTGTTTTCCAAGGGCAGCCTCAGCACACTGCTTTTCCACCCGTGGCATAAAAAGACTCTCTAACTTCTCCACATTCTCACTGACACTTAGTATTATCTATCTTGTTTGTTATAACCTTCCCAGTGGATGGAATTTGGGGCTTGATCTGCCTTTCCTTAATGAGTCATGTTCTTGAGCATCTTTTTATGTGTTTTTTAGCCAATTTGCATGACTTCTTGGGAGAATTGACTGAGTAAATCCTTTGTCCACTTTAAAATTGGGTTATTTGCCTTTCTATTTTTGAGTTGTAAGAGTTATTGATAAGTCCAAGTCTCTTATCAAGTATATGTTTTGCAAAATGTTCTTCCATTCTATGGTTGTCCTTTCTTTTCTTGATGGTGTCCTTTAAAGCACAAAAATGTTTAATTTGATAACATCCACTTTATCTATTCTTTTTTCTGTTGCTTATGTCTTCAGTTATGATAACGTCCACTTTATTTATTCTTTTTTCTGTTGTTTATGTCTTCAGTCATATTTATATAGTCGGTGCCTAAACCCCGGTCAGGAAGACTTTGTGTTTTCTTCTAACCATTTTGACTCTTGTATTGAGGTCTTTGATCTAGTCTGAGTTAGTTATTATATTTGGTATGAGATGGGGCTTCCTTTGGCATGCTGACCCACTACTCACCCCATGCGTAGGGAGAAATGCAAACCTTGCCACACCCAAGTCAGCATCTCCAGAATCCAGAGCTTCTTTCCCATGGCCTCTTCTTATGCCTACTTCTACCAAGTTCTGAACTCTCTTCTGAGTCCTACCTCCTGAAGTGACTGCCTTTTACACCAGCTTGCCCTCTCTCCTATCCCTCCATCCTCCCTCCCGCTGCCTATTATTGAAAGTTTGGAGGTAAAGACAGGTGCAGCATGCATGGTAACACCCTAAAACTGAATGCCAGAATCACAGCCCTAGAAACCCATCAGCCCTTCCCTGCACTCAGAGTTCTCTGTTTCCAGGCCAACATCTCCCCTTGGGCCCCGATTGCTCTTCCCCCCACCCCACCCCTAGCCCTACTTCCCTTTCTCAAGACTCTCTTCCTCTCCCGATTCCCAGCCTCCAATCCCCAAATGCCTGAACCTGTCTTTAGAGAACAGTGTGGTCCCCCAAATGACACCCCAAGTTGTACCTGTATCCTGTGCTCATATTTCCAAAGGTTCGCTGGGATTTTCTGTTCAGCAAAGAAACATCTATTACATCTTTGCCTTTTGGTAGTCCAGAGTACCTGCCAAAGCTTTTAATCATAGTTTTCCTCTTAAATGATCAAATCATTGGGCAGTTGATCCCACTGAATCTTACTTTGCCCCAAATATGTTGGCAGCCATTATTTCCCATTAAAAATTTTAAATGTTGCCTGTCAAATTTGTGTCAAATGGTCTTAGAATGATTTTGCCTCTCGTCCTCCTCTTCTTCATGTGATTGATGAAACGTTGTTGCTTTATTCCTCTAAATTATCTGCACTTAAACCAGCTCTTTCTGTCCCCCCTTTTTTAGAGAGACAGCATGGGAGGGGGCCAGAGGAAGAGAGTGAAACTCAAGCAGACTCCCCCCAGAACACGAGCCCCAGAAACCAACTCAGGGCTGGATCTCACGACCCTGAGATACTGTTCTGAGCCAAAATCAAGGGTCAGATGCTTAACCAAACAAGCCACCCAGGTCCCCCCGTGTACCTTTCTATTTACTGTTGCCAGTTCTTTGAGTTTTGTCCTGGTTTATCTTTATATTCCATCTGAAACATTATCACACACAGTCATTTCCAGATGGAAACCGTGTTGATTCTGCAAAAATAATCAGTGATGCTGTTCTTGACTTGAAATTCTTCATAATTTTACCTTTGTGTTTGGCGAGTGAAGCCCATAGGGACAATGGAGCATTTGCATGTGAGCCAAGATGTATGAGCAATATATGTGTTCCCTGCCCTTCCACAGTGTTCTAAATACCACAGGAATTCCCAGCAGACCCCCAATGGTGGGAGTTCAGCGAGCCTCAAGTGTGTTCAGGAGGTAAGGGCACTGTGCCCACAACTGGGTTAGCTGTTAGCAGATAGCCCTGAGAAGCCCCATTTTCCCTTGGAACCTGAACTTTCTTCAAAGGCATGATGAAGGCAGTGGTGTCCTAAAGAACAGGAACATCCAAGGAATCCTCTTCTGTTCTTTCTTTCTTACATTATTTCTTGCAACTCTGCTGAAATACTCCTTTGTGCTGAAAATGGTAACACAGCAGCAAAGGGAATGGTCCTAGTCCTCTCAGCCCTTCCTTACCCGTCAGTATGCGGAAGGTAGAAAGTGCTGGGAGAGTATGCGCCTGAAATGAAGGGCATGAAAATAGTTTGTGCAACATTTTCATGGTTTTAATAAAAACAACATACATGTGCATCTATGAGCAATTCCTATGAAATAGGAATTGCGTGATTTCTGTTTTGCCACATAGGCGTTAAACGCACTTATATTTGAATTTTAAACTGGCACTGCACCATATAAACATGGATATTAAGATTCATGCTAATAATTTAAAATTTTAATTTTTCTTTACTTAGAGTCATATTAAATAGCAAAAAGTACTATGAAAGCACTATGAAAAACTGAGGTACACTGCAAAGGACAAAGCTTTACATTATATTACCCTCAATGCCACCCTCCCCATTTTTTGAACGGGGCTCCTGCATTTCCAGTTTGCTCTGGGCCCACAGGTTGTGCAGCTGACCCTGCAGCAGGACACAAACAGAAGCTTCTTCGCTGGCAGTCTCGAGAAGGGCAACACGACAATAAGTCAACGCAACTAACTGCACAGTAGAGCGTCTGCGGGCGAAAAGCACCCACGGAGGCCGGGCGGCGGGAGCGGCCGGGACGACCTGGGGCCCGAACTCCCAAGCCCGGGAGCCGTCCAGACCCGCTCGCTCCAGGGCTGAAGCCCACACCTGACCGGTTTCAGAGCACGCCAGTCTGGAGGTGCAGGAGGGGCGCGAGCCAGGACGCGAGTATCCCCAGAACCCCAAGCGAGGCTTGCTCCTCGCAGTGCGCATGCGTGTCAGGCTCTAACGCCGAGACTCCGAGCTGTCCGGGAACCTGCGCACACCCCTCCCTTCTCTGTTCTGGCCTCGCGCTCCGGAAGCCGCTTCCCGCGAGGCCAGGCGAGTCCTCCAGAGCACCGAGAGTGCGGGCCAGAGCGGCAGCGACCCTTCCTGTGCGCAGCGGCGTCCGACGACGCGCCGGAACCGACGGCGCACCTGCGCCGGGGCGCTTGACGGCGACGGCGGCCTTGTACGTCATTGCGGGCGCGACGGCCCGAGGGATAGTGTGGGGTCTGCTTCTGTGAGGGTGCTGCGGCGGGACCGGGCGGGAAGATGCCAGTAGCGGTGATGGCGGAAAGTGCCTTTAGTTTCAAAAAGTTGCTGGATCAGTGCGAGAACCAGGAGCTCGAGGTAGCCGTTCGCGTCTCGCAGGGAGAACCGCTGGGTTTTCTGCGGCCCCGGGGCGGTGCCAGTCTCCAGGGTAACAGGGCCCGCGGGGCTCGCGACGGGCGTGGGAGCTGGGCGTGGGGATCCCGGGACTCCGGGGTCCGCTCCGAGGGCTGCGGGTCTGGGCCTCGTCTCCCCGAGCTCGCTGGGAGCCTTTTGTTGTTTGTTCTCAGCTAGTGAGTCCGAAAACCCTGGGCATCTTTGCTCCTGACATCTTCCAGTATGTTTCTTGTGTTAATTAGACTGGGCATCTTTCCTCCCCATGTGGTGGGAGGCAGGGGAATGTGGATTTTATTAAAGACATTTGTGCGAGCATACACACAGACCAAAGAAGGAGTAACCTTTTATCAATTCAGAAAGTCCTTAGTCTCATAATGTCACCACCTAAGCTTACCGTTCTGTCTTGTATAAGACTGGGGAAAGTTATATCATACAGCTGTTAAAAGTTAATTGAGGTTTTTTTTTCCTTAGAAAGGCACTGGAAAAGCATGTATAACATTAGTATAAAAAATTAACTGAAGGAGACAACAGTCAGAAGCAGCAGCTCACTAATAGACAATAGATCTTTTCTGAATAAATCAAATTTGAATGAAGAGAGAAATGTCTTTGTAACACTGGCTGTGATTTTTTTTTTTCTGTTCATCACTCATTACTTAGCTAGTCAGCATACTTGATACAATGGGCAGAATCATAGTGCTTTAAGAATTTGTTGGAAATGTTTGTTTCTTTTAATAGTAAGCCCATTTAAGAATTTGAGAACTGGGAAAGGAATCCCATTTAAATATTCTTGTGCATATAAAGACAACTTCGAAGGGAGAGAAAAATCACAGCTGATGGCAGATCTAAACTTAACACTGGTTTTTAGTGCTTTGTACTTCTCTAAGCTCTCTCTACATCTGTAGTACTAAGTATTGTAAAATAGGCTTATTTTTTAGATTAATGTTAGTAAAATTCTTTTTTTTTTTTTTTAAGTGTAGATATAAGTAGTAAGGCTTTTTTGTTTTTGGCCTTATAGGCTCCTGGAGGAATTGCTACTCCCCCAGTGTATGGTCAGCTGTTAGCTTTGTATCTGCTCCACAATGACATGTAAGTATCTTCTACCTGAAGCCAAGAGCAACAACTTCGTCAGGATTGTACAGAAATAACTCTCCCGTTGGAAAGACATCATTAAAACATAATCCGCAAGGAGCTGTATCTTCTATTGTAATACTTAATACACTTATTTCATATATTGAATTGTGACCTAAACTATGATTAGGCCAAGTGTTTTTAAGATACACTTGTTTTATATATATTCTCTAAAAACACATTTTAGTGTGTGTTTTTTTTTAAGATTTTATTTATTGATTTATTTGAGCGAGAGAATGAGAGTGAGAGCATTTCATAAGGGGGAAGGTCAGAGGGAGAAGCAGACTCCCCGCTGAGCAGGGAGCCTGATGTGGGGCTCCATCCAAGGACCCTGGGATCATGACCCGAGCTGAAGGCAGTCTCTTAACTGACTGCGCCCCTCAGGCGCCCACACATTTTAATTTGTTATGAGAAACTACAGTGTCAATAAATTCCTTTAATTCTGTTGACCTTTTTTTGTCTTTATAAGACTTTCATATGGCTTCTACTTAATTTCATATGTATTCAGTAGATCAAGAGAAACTGGAAGGGAAGATTGAGAAAACTAAGAGAAATTTAATTAACAACACATACGAGATTTTTTTTTGAAAAATGGTGTTTTTTTACTTATTCCTAATTCATGTTCATTGAAGAAAAGTCAGAAAGCATAAATATTCAGGAGTCCCTTGTGCTACAAACCATCAATGATTACTGTCAAATGTTGTTGGCAGAGTCTCTTCAACCTTTTTGTTTCGTGTCTTTTAAAAAACTAACCCACAGTTCCTGTGAGACATACATCATATGTGCTGTCGGTTTCATTTTTGTAATCCTGATCATTGTATGTTTGTTGTAGTTCCAAGTTTTCAGACTCTTAAAAACTGCGTTGAAGTTTTGGTGGCTCTGCATTCATTGGTCAGAGAAGGGCTCATGATAAGGAGACAAGCACTGTGTATCACATACATTGTCAGGGAATTCCAGAGCCTTGAACAGAAATTTGTTTATTTTTATATATGAAGAAATTATCTACTTAAGTGTTTGTGTTTTTAGTGTACCATTACCTTAACTTAAGATCTAGGTCGTTAATTAAAAATTCACTGAAGATGGCAGAATATTACTTTGGTGAAAGTATTTTATGTCTTTTTATCTGTAAAGTTACTCTTACTTCCCCTGGACAAATTAGTATAAAACTAAGTTTCATTCTATAGAATAGTGAGTATTTTAAAATATATTTCTGTGTGTTTGCAGTGAGATCTGGAATGTTAAACATTTACTGAGGTGATTTTTTTTTTAATTACCTATTTTTTTCTCGGGGGGATGTAAATTAGGAATAATGCAAGATATCTTTGGAAACGGATACCACCTGCTATAAAATCTGTAAGTAGTCGTCAATATATCGTACTACTTGAATGTAGTAACAGCATTCATTTAAATGGCAACCTTCTAAAATTTTTAAAGTTTCTGTTTTCTTTCCCCCTTGGTTCACAGAAATAGATACTAAACTGGTATTAGAGTTTAAGAGCAGATCTACAAATTCCTCTAATCAGAAATTTAATTTCCCTTGGATGGTAAAGAAATCTGTGTTTAGCTTCTGCTGATGACATTTATTAAGATGCTTCTTGTGTCACTTTGCCCAGCGAACAGCTGAGACCTTTCAGTAAAGGTTTGGTTTGTGTTTTGTTTTGCTTTTTTAACTGATTTATGCAGTAATGGTATTTACTTTGAAATTGGTATCATTCCCAAGAATATCCGAAAAACGGTTTCCACAGCTTTAAGATTATTTTTACTAATTAGGATTTTAGATTTCTTAGTTTGGATAGGAGATTAGATGAAATAATGTTTTAAAAGTTTTTTCCGAAGTGTAATGAAATACGTTTTTAATTTCATGGGATTCCCTGTTTCTAGCATAAATGCAAAGTGAATTTTTTAAACATTCACTGAATATTACCAAGAATTCACTTGAATTCTTCTGTTCTTTATTGATATTTAGCAGTAGTTCATTTTGGTATTTTTATTCTCTTTTCTTCTCCAGATATCCTATTAAATAATACTGGAATGTTCCTCCAGCTTCGTTGACTTAAAGAACTATGAATTACTCTCATAGTTTCAGTGATGTTAGTGGGAATTCTCTCCTGGGAAAGGCTACAGGGTGTGACATCTTAGATTGACAGTCTTTATTTTAGTCATTTTGCTATTACTTTTGCCCCCAAAACATGTCTGTATATTTTACGCTCGTATATATATATGAATAGTCTACGTAACGTTTATCACGTGTATGTATACATGAAATACAAATACAATATTCTGAAAAACTGTTTTAAGAAAATTAATTTTCAGACTTAATTCTGAAATATTTTTGGACAATTGTTTTATGCTTTAATTTTCTGTTATAATAAAAATTTATATAAGCCATATAAATAAATTTTGCATTACTGTCCACAGCATTTAAAAACCTTTTTGATAGTGATTGGGCTGAAGAAGTAATTATACCTCTTAAGAGAAATGTTGAATTTATGTTTTAAGATACAGTTGTTGGTAAATCTGTGCAGTGACTATCCTCAAAGGCAGTGGTGTTTATTGCAGGCAAATTCTGAACTTGGGGGAATTTGGTCAGTAGGACAAAGAATCTGGCAGAGAGATTTCCCTGGGATCTATACGACCATCAACGCACACCAGTGGTCTGAGACGGTCCAGCCAATCATGGAAGCACTTAGAGGTAGTGTTTCTTCGTGGTTAAGAGTAAAATTAGACCTGTTCTCTGAGTGCTGCAATGTTGAAGTAAGTCAGTGATGTGTTTAAAAAAATAGATATTTTCTGCTGAGAATGTGAATTGGGCAGCTTTCAAAACTCTTGTAAGGATTTGCTATAATCATACTTCTTTTCACCTGTGAGGATTTGCTGTGACCATACCTCTTCATTTCGTCTTGTTTGAGGTCGTTTCGCCAGCTAAGGGCTTCATTGTCTTTAGCTCTAGAGTGAAATCGCTCTTGACAGTAAAAGGATTTTTTGCTACTAAAATGAAATCTTGTAATATTCTAATAAGCTCAAGGTATGGGGTGGTGAAGATTTTAAACCCCGTGTATTTGAAAGTAGAGACTGTACTTTGGAGTCTTGACTTCATGCTTTGACAGGGGTTGTTTCCAGCTTCTGGATTTGTAACTAGTCAGTTCAGTACACAGATGCTCAGATGTTTTTTAATTGCTCTGAAGAATCCCAAGCCTGTGTGACATAGTGCTGATCCCACGATGAAACTGGACACTGCCAGTTTCTCTCTCTCTCTGTTTCTCCTGCCCCTGACTTTGCCGATTCACTCTTTTTTATAAATTCATATACTGATCGCTTTTTATATTGTTCAGTGTCTTTTTATGTTGTTCAGTTTCTTATTTCTTACTGTTACCTTGTTGCTGCTAATACCTGCCTTGGCTGTCTGCCTTCCTGCTCTGGAGGGGTCAGTGAGCAGGAATTGTTGAGTAACTGCTCATTATTCTGGCAAGGGTATCATCTTTTGAGATGTGAAGGTGAGGGTTGCTTCTCAGGTGTACCTAATTTCTCTTGGGATGGTAAAGCTGTGGCAGCATAAAACAGAACAATGTAAGGAACACAACAGGAGGCACTTACTTTAAATACAAAGGAAGTGAGCAGGAGTGCAGACCCCTGGTGGGTGAGAAGGGAGGGAGGAGTGTGGTATAAGTTTGCTCAGTTATAAGAGGGACAGTTTCAGATATTTCCACAGAAAACCGCCTTACCCTCTTCACGTAAGTCCAGGAGAGAAAAGACTGTGGTGGTGGGTTTTTGTGGTATTTGGTTCAGTCTTAGGATTGTGGTGTGAGGGCACAGGCCGCGGGCCATTTCCCAGCACCATATAGCGGGGTCATTGGCAGGACCAGGGCTCAGATCTCCTGACTCACGCAGCAGATATTCCCTGTGTGCCCTAGTGGGTGTAGCCTGTTTCCTCCCAGGACTGCCTCTGCCTCCAGCTCTGTTAGATTCAGTACTTCTTTGAAGGCAGTCCAGCCAGCCTCTGGAAGGCCGTGGAGCACAAAATGGGGGAGTTTGGACTCTGAAACCATACCTGTGGAGTTCACATCCTGGTTCTGCCACTTGAGTGACCCTTCTGTACCTCATTTTTCTCATTTGTAAAGTGAGATCATAAGTAGTATTTTCCTTGGGTTGTTAGAAATGAATTAATATGTATAAGCACTTAGATGTGCTTAATTAATTAATATGTATAAGCACTCATCTGTTCACCTGTCATATTTGCGACTGTATCCAGAGAATTTTGCAAATCCCCAGATTCACAAATGGTACTGCATTTCCCTCCATAAGATGAAGCCTGATAAAGGGAGTTTTACAATAGAGTTGAATTACTGCTAAATTTGATACTTTCCCTTTTGATGTATTACAAGTTTTTAGTTTTCTAGATTGTCTTAAGAACAGTCACATTCTCAGATCTTTTCCTTTTCTATTCTGAATTAGTCACAGTCCTACCAGAAAATTGTAAATGGCTTAAGTGAAGAGGGGCTAGTGAAAGATCTGTTTCTAAAGGCAGCCAACAGGGCCCAACAGCACCCAGGGGCTGGCTGTGGACAGTAGCCGTTCTCATTCAAGGCCCAAAGGGAGGAGGCAAGGGACGCACGCTAACAAGGTCACATAAGGGGCTGCCCCCAGGAGCTGTGGATCATCTAGAGCCAGGCAGGGAGGGCGCAGAGGAAGTGCATTCCCACGACCATGGACCCACTCACCAGGCAGGAAGGTGCAGGTGCCACAGGTGGTGGGGTCCAGACTCCCTGGAGTAGAAGGGCAGAGGTGGGTTAGAAAGTGCATGGCAGCCAGCTCACCTGCCCTCCGTCTGTAGCACTAGCACCAGCAGCTCCTGGTAGACAGCAAGCATGGTTAGATATTTCTTACACAACAGAGTGAGCATTCTTTTAGGATCTCCCCAGGACTTTGTCCTGTGATGAGCTGCCACAGATATCAGTGCTGGCTCAGTTGATTCCCCTTTCCAGCTTGCCATCCTAATGCATGCCCTCATGAACTGACACATTTCAGAGATCTTATGGGTAACAAAGTGACTAGAATGTCCCTGAGTGGTTAAAAGCAGCCCCAGTTTCGTGGCCTCTCACTGACCCTTTGGAACACTCTCAACCTGTGTTTTTGCTTCCTCTGCCTACCCACTTCTGTCTCCCTGTGTGCTTGCTTCTATTCTGTGTGCCAGGCCTGTCTCTCTGCCTCTCTCCTCTCCATCTGTGTGTCTCTTCCGTTCATTCCATTCATTCTCTTCTACTACTCCCCATCTCCTCTCAATTCTGAAAATCTGACCAGAGTGCTTGAACTCAAGTTAATATTTTTAAAATATGGTAGGTTTTCCAAATGGGTATAGTTGTTGGTGCACACTTGGATTTCCCTTTTCCATTGTTGCTCTTGGTTCTTTCTCATTGAGTGCCCATGGCTTTCAGTAAGGGAAAGTTCCCTTACTGCTAAGATGTTTTCAAGTCCAAGTAAAGTCATGTGCTGAGCAGTCCTTAGGAAGAAGGAAGGAGTTGACTGAGGGCTTGGGAGGAGGAGCAGTGCTGGCTGAGCGGAAGCTGGTGAGGACATCAGGCTCTGTGAGCAGTGGAGAAATGCAATGGAATGTCAGTGATCTTTAAGAAATATGAGGGAACAAAGCCAAAGGCTGTGTCCTGTGATATTGTCAACAAGCATGTCTTCAGCACATACTTCCTTAGAGAGGCTGGGCTCTTTGTGGGGGTGGGGGTATAAAGATACAGAGGATAGTCTTTCTCCTCTAGAGAAGTTTAGGGATCATTGAGGTGAAGGGAGTGGGGAGGGGTGGGGCAGTGTGTTGTAGGTGGTGGAAGCATGCTTGTTCAACAGGTAGTATAAACAGTGCTGTGAATTTAGAGAAGGCCAGAGATGGCAGTGAGCCTTGATTCTGCAGGAGGAGTTTGTAAACAGACCTAGGAGTTGTAGAGAGCAGACACCATACAGCATCAACGCAAAGCCCAGAGATGAGAAGGTGTGAGTGAGGCTTGTCTGAGGGCCAGGGGCCGAACTGGGAGGAAAGGGTGCCTAAGGAGCTGGGTGCAGTTGTCAGGCAGTGTCCCAGGAATGCAGGGAGGGTTTTCAGCATGGGACTGTACTGTACAAAAACACTGGCCTGTTGAATGTGGAAAGTAAAATCCAGAATATTTTTAAGCATGCTGATAGCCAGATGAAGGAGCCCTTATGTTCCCGAAAGAGTAGTGGGTAGGAAGACAGGCTAGCTGGACCTCAGTTCCTACCCTTGACTTACTGTCTCTTCCTCATGATATTCCTCTGGAATAGTCAGTGTGGGAATGTAAGCCTGGGGAAATCCCACATGTCATCGCTAGGGAGGTTTTGTTGCTGGAATTGTTTGCAGCACCCCCCACCCCAATTAGGCTCATTTAGGATTTGACCTTGGGATTTGAACCCAAATTAAGACAAGAGTTCAGAGCAGCTTCGAAAGTTAGTGTTAACAAAACTTCAACTGAGTAAACTTGGAGAACTAATTGGCTTTATTAAGCAGTCCGTGAATTGGGCAGCATCCCATCCAGCAAGTAGATGGGAGCTCTGAGGAGTTGTACATAATGTCAGGTTATCATAGGAAGGAATGTGGGGCAGGGGTGTTATTGCAAAAGAAAAGGAAGAGATGTTTCAGGCCAGGTCACCTTCCCTAAGAGTGGGGAGTCTTCTCCTTTTGGGGGGGATGGAAGGAGGCCCAGGTGATAGATTACCCCTTCCACAGGATCAGGAGATTCCTGACTGACCTCTTACGACTGTATTTTCTACGGGAGGTTGAAACTGTGTTATGTTTAATTCCCATTTGCTGACTCGGTGTTTGGGACCTGTGGTTTTAACAGGAGAGAGCTCTAGTTACAAGGTTTGTTCTGCAGTTCCGAGGTGTGATCTTAGATCAGAGACCCTCCTCAGAAAGGACAACTGATTACCGAAGTAGATCATTTCTGCTCCGTTCAGTCCAGTGTTTGTAAGTTGGATTAAAAAAGAAATTTAAAAAATTATATACCAAGTGCATAAATACATTTAAATGAAATTTTCTTAGAGTTTGGGTCTTATGTAAATTAACTTGTTCTCCTTCTTTGTATATTTCATTGTCCTCCAAGAGAGACTTGCTGTCTGTGAGGAAGTACAAGGAATTGATTGTTTATTCGGCAATATCTGAGCACCTCTTTCATGCCAGGCACGTGTATCTGTATCTGTATCTATGTGAACATAGAAACCTGTGGGTCGACCTAGTCTTATAAAATTTGGACAGGGACAATCATGTAACTTAATTGTGTGTTAAAAATACCAGCTCTCTTGGTTCACTGTCTGCCACCCCTCCACTCCCACCACAGATGCAACGAGGAGAAGAGCCTTCGCCCTGGTCTCACAAGCCTACACCTCCATCATCGCTGATGACTTCGCAGCCTTTGTTGGCCTCCCTGTGGAAGAGGCTGTGAAAGGTAATTTGGGCTCGCTGTTTACTTTCAACAAAAGTGGAAGTGTACATTGTTGGAACAGGTTGGTTTGGGAATTCAGGCAGTGTTCCCTGGAAAGGGGATATGAAACCTGCCTGGCACCATACCCCTGGCAGGGCTGGGCCGGGAACCAGGCTGTTCTCAGGCCCAGCAGTTGCTGGGCAGCGGCCGATATGAGTGTCCGCCCGATGGTATGAGGAGACATCCGATCCACACCTAACAGGGCCTCACAACTGCTTTTGCCACCAAATGAGTTCCAAGAAAAACTTTTCGGATTTCTGCGTGTGGATAAGAGATTCAGTTCCTCATTTACTTTGAAAGCACTTTTGCCAGAGGCAGTTAATGGTATCTTAGAACATGAGATTTGCAAAGGAGTACTTTGCCATTTTTATGAAGTTAACATTTGGCTAGGTCCGTGAGGTGTACCCTTGTCGCATGTGATCATTCTAGCTCTTTCTTTATTGGAACCTCTTTGATGTTCCTGTAGTCATTTTTTATCCTGTTCCCAGGCCTGATCCCTGAGTAGTTTCTATTTTTACTTCTAAGAACTCTGATGAAGGCTTACGTCAACGGTGGGCCTATGAAATGGTGGGGTGCCTTCCCAACATGATGCCCTGCAAGGGGACTCAGAGCTGCTGTTGACTGGGAGTGGGTAGGGCAGGGAGGGATGTGGTGGGAGCAGAGTTACTGAAAGTCAGGGACACTGAGGGGGCAGAGGAAGGTCCTTGAGACAGCCCCATGCAGCTCTGAGTACACCTGGTCTTACGAGCAGTGGGAAATGCGAGCAGCAAGGAAGTAAAGGATATACAAATTAGTTGCTTTTGTAAGTATGCCAGGCGAGTAGCATTATATTCATGACTGGGAGTTTAAACTTTGTAACTTCTTTAAATTACTCCTTTTCTTCTGAAAATCAACATATTAATAAATGTATTTTTTTAAGAAAATCCTAATTGACTTCATGCCTCACATGTGGAAATCCTCATTTCCCCCATACTTGGTAAAGGCAGTCTTCTCCCCCTGTCCCTTTTCAGCCCGTGTGTTTTCCTTGATATTCTTGATATTGGGACCTGTGGTTTTCTTGTTAACAGAAGTAACTTCTCTTACCAGTAACTCTTCTTACCCACTGGTCTCCAGTCGTGCTTTTGCATTGTCGTTCCTTAGGTGATGGCCAGACTAGCTCCTCCCCTCAGTTAATTGCTATAGAACATTGTCTGTGCCTCATAGCATTGTTATACCATCATTGGCATTTTTGATTCTCTGGCTAAAATAGGAACCCTGTAAAGACCACATCTTGTTCTTCAGTTTCCCAAGCCTACCACAATTTTAGATGCATAGCAGGCAGGTTAATGAAAATTCCTGGAGTAAATCAATACTGTTGGTTACTCAACAGACATTTGTTTTAAATCATCTTGACATTGATCCACAGTTTATTACATAACAGATAACATCCCCTGAGCCATATTCTTAAATGACTACCTGGGTGGGACTCCGCTACCCAACCCCCATGCTAACTTCATGATCGAGGACATGTCACTGGAATTCTCCAAACTCCATTTTCCACATCAGTTAGATGATGGTCCTGTGTCCTTTATAGAGTAGTGTGATGGTGCCCTGAAATGATCGCCATGGAACGGTGCCTGCTGTCCAGGACTCTGCGTGTGTGAGTGGTTGTTCTTGTCAGTGGGATCAGCTCTGTCAATACTGATAGAGCAAGTACAGGCGGTGTCATGTACGTCCTCCTTAGGGACATGGATGTTGTTTTAGTCATACTAAGTAGATTAATACCGTAATGTACACTTTACAGAAGACTGCTCATCTGCTAGGGCTTCTTTCAGCCTGAGAGAGAAAAATGGCTTTGATACGTGTTTCAGAAATGTTTCAAAAGTAAGTTCACCTGAGAATGCTATCTATAATCTACTTTTCTAGAAAAAAATACACATTGTAGGATAACCTGCACTTGTCAGATCTTCCATACAAGTAGTGTCATTGACAGATTGTGGATCTTGTAAATGAAAACTATAGGAGTTTTTTGTTATTTCTCATTTGTGTGTAAACTGCACGTTTTTTAGGTATATTAGAACAAGGATGGCAAGCCGACTCCACCACAAGAATGGTTATGCCCAAAAAGCCAGGTAGGTGGAGCTCTTCGTCCACGTATGCCCACTGACCTCTTTTAAGCCCGCTTCAGGCTCTTCTGCCTTTGAGTCTTTGATAAGGTTCTGCTGTACTAGCAAATTGAAAGTTACTCAGGGTAAATACAGACATGCAATGATAGACACAGTAGAAAGGATTTTAAAGATCACCTAGTTGTACCTTAATTTTTTTTTAAATGTACTTCTTGTGTAGGAAACTATTTTATATGGGTTTTTCATAATCTTTATTATGGTTTTTCCTTTATATGGGTTTTTCATCATCCTTGTGTAAAAACCTATTTTATGTGGGTTTTTCGTAATCCTTACTATAACTTAATTTTTGCTAAGCCTCAGTCTCCCATCCTTTTATTTATGGAGCCATAGCGTGTTTACCCATAATACCTAAACCATTACCTTTAAAAAATAAATCTTATTCACATACCCCCCCTTTTCTCATTGTACTATAAATATGTACACTCTTTTCTGAAATAAGATCTCAGTGGCTTTAACTTGCACAAAATTAAGCTCTTTGACTTAAATCATTTGACCTGTCCTCATGTCCATCTGAATTCCCAGTCCCTCAGTCGTCCTTCTGAAGCGAGCCATGCTCATTCCTGCTTGGAGGTCTCTTCTCCCGCTTGGCAGGAATGTCCTTTTTTGCCAGATCTTTCAAGCTGAGCTTAACGCCCACACCTGTCAGCCCTCCTCCTTCAATCCAGTCTGCTCTGAATTCCTGTTGTTTAGACATTGTTGACCCCACAGTGAAGAATTACTCAAATTTTGATGGGCTCTGTCCTGTGAAGGTACAGGAAGTGGTTAGACACGGTCCCAGTGGGTTTAGCTGCTAAGAGAAAACTGCTGTAGAAAGAAGAAAACTCATGTAGTCATAATAGAGAATAATTGTTAACTGTTTGAGAAGTAGTAAAAGGTCATAAGTGCCACTGTGTTAAAAATGACATGTTCTGTGTGAAAGTTCTTCAGTATGACTCCTATAACTTGTGCTGTTAATTTTACTTAGTTGCAGGGGCCCTGGATGCATCTTTTAACCGGTTTATTCCCTTATCAGGTATGTATTTTTATATGTTCATTTAAAAGGTGTTTCATTGTTCTTTATTTCTTTTTTGTCACATGTTTTGGTTTTTCTTAGCTCTAACCTTGTCAACGAAGAGGTTAAATTCTGTACTTGGCTATTTATAACCTGTTTGATTACAAAGGGAGAGCTTGTGGGTTCCCTTCTGGAGCTTCCCTTGAGGCTGTGACACCTTCTGGCCCAGCCACAGAGCCTCGTTGGTGTCGTGTAGCGAAGCCGTGATAGGCCTTCCCACCAGCGGTAACTCGGAAGGCATCCCTTGGCTGACATGTGCTAACTTAAAAGCTAGAACTAAATTCCTTGGTGATGGTTCTTTTGGGGCCTTTTGTTCACTGACAGTTTAACAGAGCAGTGCCTGGCACATGATCAATACTGGGTGATTCTTCCCAGAGTTCCGTGTCACATGGGTAGGTGGGTAGGTGTCCTTCCAACAAGAGCTGTGCTCTCTCAAGAGAGATTTTGCAGTTAATGTGGAAACTTAGGCAAAGCCAGACATGCCTTTCCTCCCAGTTTAGGAAAACTCATCAAAGTTGAGACTTCTCTGCTTATTATTCAAAAATGTCCCAAGTCAATAAGAAGGTTTCCTTTTTGTTAAATGAACAGGCATTGGAGGGTGAGGGTGGCAGGGCTAATGCGCCATTCCCCAGGGGTCTGACTTTAGTCTCTTTCTCCATGTCACACGCAGAGCCTGCCCCAGTGCCCCCGATCCCCAACGAACAGCAGTTAGCCAGACTGACCGATTATGTGGCTTTCCTCGAAAACTGATAACATCATTCTGAGTTCAAGATCCACCTTCGGAATCCTGTATACTGACAGATAGAGAAATGTAAAATTTTTATTTTCAATTTCTTGGACGGATGAAGCACCTCAGCATTCCTTACTGAGTATGTGATAAAATACATATATAAAGTATTATATATATTTTGTCCTTAAACACTATACGGAATAGTTGTTGAAGCAATTCTCCTTTTGTAATATTGGACAGTTTGGATGGAGCCCGTCAGTATTATGCAGTTTATATTTCCTAGTGACTTATAAAGTACAGCTCTCCTGCTTCGTGTAGTCAGTGGTTGTCAGCTGTTTGTCCCTCTGCCCCAGCGTACTGCACACTCCCCTCTGCACCCATGGCTCATTACAGTGGTTCATTGGGGTTTGAGAAGGAGTCCCCAGAGGCAGTCTCTGAGCTGCTGGGGACTCTGAGGCACCCCCTTCAGAGAAGATGCTCTCCTTTCTCCTCACCTCCTGCACATCACTCCTATAGAAGGCTGAAGCATAGCTGAGGAACCAAAGACCATTTCCTCAGTAAACCCCATTTATGAACTGCCCATTTCTTCCTGACAGTAGGAGTACATCCATTGCTGACAGTGGAGGGCTTGCCCTGAAAAGGCAACTATTTAAGACCTTCAGGTGACGTATTCAATGTATGTTCCCTTCAGAAGAAGGGAAACCTAGGGTGGAATGCATTCTACCGGCAGAGAAGCTATTACAATAAGTGATCCACTTTGTTCAACTATCCTGGGGCATACAGATTGCTTCTGTTTATCATTTGGTGCAAGTTCTGCCTTTTGGAGAAACACTGAACAAGCCTTTCAGTTGTCGTGTGATGCCCTCTAAATATTGGGGGGCGTTCATTGTATCTTCAGGTTAAAAGCCCCCCTTGCTTCATTTATTCTGCATTTGTTCAATAAATATTTAATTGCATCAGCTGTTTCATCTGCAATAGTTTCTAGACGTTTCTTCACTCTCCAGTCTTTCTGTGGGTACGTTCCAGTTTGTCATTGTCCCTCGAGCTATGAATTACCCAATTAAATAGAAGTGGTGTGTATGGCGCTGACTACATGATTCATAGATTCGCTCATTTTAAATACATTTTTCAGTTATTGTTAACAGTTGTGGAAATATCTTTTGAATTGACATTTTATTGAACTCCATTGTATAAGTCAGTGTTAAAACTCCCTTGTTTTACAGTGGAGGAAATGGAAATTCAAGAAGCAAGAGGATCAGTAGCTAGAAAGTGATGGTGCCAGTTACTGAACTTCCAGGTATTAAGTACAGGTTGTATCCATGGTTGAAATCAATTCAGATGTTCATTAATAGGGGACAAGGTGACGACACGGTGGGTAGTGTGCAGTACCGTGCAGCTCCTGGAGGTGTGAGTGTGAGAGAGGTCTCTGGACGGAGACAGTGATCTCCACAGTGAAACCAGAGGAAGCAGAAGGAGTTTAGACCATTGCTTCGAGGGGGAAAAAGGGTTCCGTGGATACACGTGCTTGAGAGTGTTTCAGGAAAACCATTGAAGTATCAACCAAAAACTAGTAAAAATCGCTCTTTATGGGGAAGGAGGAGGCAGTCAGTGAACTTCACATTGTGAAGCAGTAATTATTTCAAGTGACTTGATTTTGCATTGTCACTGGGATATATACTGAGGACACAAAGACGTCAGCCGACTGAATATGGTTTCATGGCTAATTTGAAAAAAATGCTTTGATATCATCACTATTAGTAAAAGTATATTTTAGGATAAAACAGTTTAGAAATGAGGTAATCTTACTAGAACCTCGTAATTTTAAATTTCACATAGAAGCCTTAAATGATTTATTTTTCTTTCTAAAGTATAAGTAGTTCCTGGTTCTGTCCAACTAAAAAGGCCTAGAATAATTACAACCAGCACTAGTGAAAACCAATAATGCCCAGATTGTGTTCTCCGAACTCCAGCTTCACTAAGCAGAATCAGAACTTATTTTCAAAGTAGGTGCTAGTCTGGGGAAATAATTGTACAGGTTGATCCCCAGTATAAGATGTCCCAGGTTCAGGAATGTTTCAGTCTCATAGGGTTCTTTCAGAAGTTCATAGAAGCCAACTTGAAGGAGCGCCCGTCGGCCAAACATGAGACAAATTTTATGAAAAGTCTGTCTATGTGTTTATATTTTTAACCCCAAGATCATAATTATAATACTAAGATAACCTCGTCATTATACAGGAAATTCAGGATGTGCTTGATTCCATCTCCCCTATATTTACTTAACAGTCTTCAGACTAAATGAATTCATGTCCTAGTGATGTCCAAAATAAAAAAATTGAACATGCAAAGTAATCAAACAACTGATGGTAGAAAATACTTTCTCGAAGAATTCTACCTTCTGCAGATAGAAAATCTGTACTTCGTAGTACATTTCCTCAAGGATCTAAGAAAGAATCAATGACTGCTGAGACCACGGGCTGAGAAAACAAGAGTGAGCATCAAATCAGCCTGTCTCTGTGCCCTGACTCCTGCCTAGACTGCCAGTTGCACACGGGTGTAGCCTGACGGCACCCTGCTTTAGACGCATTGAATATGTCTGCCGTGTTTGCTGTGGTCCTTATGCTTTCCATGCCACAGGGATTGCCCACACAAACCTGGGTAAGGGGGAGCCAGCCCCGAGCAGCCCTTCAACAGAGAGAGGCCTGATCCAGGGATTAACACTGCCTTCCATGGCTTGGGAAGATGGTTTCCGGACTCCTAAAAAAAGACCCCAGTGAGACTGAGCTGTGGTTGCCCACTGTAACCAGTTTGCAGTGGCATGGATTGCTAGTTCTTCTTTCCTTGTTTCTCTCTTCCCAGTGCCACTCTGTGTTCCTGGGATTGAGAGACATGGCCCATCTACATGTAAGCTGAAACACCTGAATCCATCTGTCCTTAACATCACTCACAGTGGGACAAGTGAGCTTGCCAGGATGGCATGGTAAGCATGTAGCTTCCACCACAAAGGTTTTTGTCAAAACAAACCCCTCCCCCAAAATGAATGGGACTTTAACCAAGGTTGTAGATTTAACTGCCCGTTTCCATGAAATGTGGGTATTTGGTGAACAAGTTAAAAGCCCCACCAAGAATCAATCAGTCAGACCTAGGATGTGGGGGATTTTAACAGGGCAAAAAAGTGAGTTTCCTTCAAGAATAAATGGGCTGAGAAGAGTCTGAGGGCGGTAGAGTTGGCAGTGAGCACAGGAAGATCTTTGCTCCTGGGCAGAAGTACTCTGAGGCCGATGCCAGTTGTACCAAGGACTACAAACAGGTGGCCGCGTGGGAAGAAATCTGGTTACAGGCGTCAAGGAGCTCAAGAGAGGAGGCCCGAAGGCCACGTGTTTGAGTGAGCAAAGAACACAGGGGGCCTTGTGCAGCAGCTTCGGGAGGTGGTTGCTGGTTGGGGCTGGGTACCTTGCTGGGGGCCAACCACCTGGAGCACTTGAGCATTTGAAAGGGCTGACCCACACAGCTGCTTACCCTTCAAAGCATCTGGTGAACTTTTAGGCTGCTTTAGGTAGGAAGAAATGAGGCCAAGTCCAAAGAAAAAACCTTTGGGAAACAGCTTCGTTTTCCTCCCGTCTTGCTGTGCTGGGCTCCAGTTAACACGCAGGGCGGGAGGGAGTGGGGGTGCCTGTCAGCAGAAACCTGAGTAGAACAGTTAAGCTGCTGGAGGACAGGTCAGCAGGATATGTTCTAGCAGAAACAGAAAGTAAACAGTGGAACTTACTGAAAACAGTGTTGGAGACGAAACAGCAAAGAAGTCTATGAGGTGTGTGGTAGAAATCCAAGGAATAGAAAGTAAAGCAGGAAAACAATACTTGGAAGGACTGGCCAAGAACTTTCTAAGACTGATGAAAGAAATCAGGCCACAGGGTCAGAAAGCTCCACACAGGATGAATACAAAACAAACCTCCCACACCCTGACACTGCCTAGGAAACTACTGAAAATGAAAGCGAGCGTATTAAAAGCATGAAGGAGGGTGATGGTGGGGGTGGGGGGGTGGAGTAGTGGGCGGGGGTGGGGGGGGCTTCAGAGAAGCAATGGTAAAGCCAGAGGATGATAAAATGGCATTTTTTAAGTGTTGAAAGAAAGAAAAAAAAAATCCTGACTGCCATTTATAAGACACACTCGCTCTTTCAGCCTTCCTGTGGTAAGTGGAAAAGTTGGAGAAGCTACATAAGTGCAATCAGCATCCAAAAGCAAGCAGGTGCCGCTCTGTTGATGCCACACAGTGGACTTGAAGGCGAGAAGCACGTTTCATGGACAAGGTTTCCTATTGCTGCCCTGAGTTACCACTAACATAATGACTTCCAACAACACTGGTGGTTCGTAGTCGAGGCATCTGAGCTGGGTCTGGCTGGCAGGTGTCAGCAGGACCGCTGCCTTCCTGTGTGGAGGCTCAGCGGACAGTCTGTTTCCTTGTCCCATCCAGCTTCCACAGGCCACCCACGCACCTTGGCTCCTGACCTTGCCTCCATTTTCAAAACCAGCAGCTTTGCGCCAGGTTCTTTCACACTGTCCCCTCTTCGGGGCTCACCGCTGCCTCCTCCTTGCACATGGAAGACCCCTGCGGTTATGTTGGCCCCACCTGGAATCCAGGATCCCTATTTTAAGATAGGCTGATGATCTTAATTTCCCTTTCATGTGACAACGTATTCACGGGTTCCGGAGATTCAGACATCCGCATCTTTGGGAACCATTACTCTTCCCACTGCAGGAGGCAACAGGAGTATATAATTCTAAATCTATAAATTGTAAATGAAAGGCAATGAAAGTTAACAACTGAGAGTCACCTACAGTGGGGGCATCGGGGTGGGTGGGAGGTGGCACTAGCCCTGTCAGACGTTGAAACAAAATCTAAAGCCTCTTGTTAAAACATCACGACACCAGAGCATGAACAGTGGATGCAGAATAATCTGGAGAGATGAGAGACTCGAATACATACAGAAACGTACCTACCGTATGATAAAAGTGGCATCTCAGGTCACTGAGAGAAAGGTGGACTTTCAGACAAATGGCTCTGGGAAAGCTGGTTAGCCTTTGGAGAAATAAATCATTAGAATAACATCCAGGTAGATCAGGGATCTTAATGTAAAAGAATGAAACCAGGCTGGTAGAATTTCGGCAAAGGAAAGCTTCTGTGTCTCAGAATTCAGGCTATTGAAGTGTCCAATTTGACAACTTAGAAGTGCTGCAAATTATAAAGACACCTGAACAGAAAGAGAAACTGAAGGTAAATACAGAGAACAAATGGGTTGCCAGAAGGGAGAGGTATGGGGATAGGGGATGGGTGCAATAGCTGAAGGGAACTAAGAAGTGCAAACTTCCAGAGAAGCCTGGGTGGCTGTCAGGTAAGCGTCTGACTCTTGATTTTGGCTCAGATCATGATCTTGGGGTTGTAAGATCAAGCCCTGTGTCGGGCTCTGTGCTGGTCATGGAGCCTACTTAAGATTCTCCGTCTCCCCCCACTACTCTCCGGTGTACATGCTCTCTATCTTTTTCTCTTCCTCACCACCCCCCAACAAAATGCAAACTTCTAGTTATAAATAAATCCTGGAGATGAGTACAGCGTAGGTAATATAGTCAAGAATATTGCAGTAACGACGTGTGGAGACAGATGGGGGTCACGCTCATCCCGGTGAGCACCATGTAATGTATGGAACTGTCAAGTCACTGTGTTGTACACCTGAAATGCAGCACTGCATGTCCTCTGTACCTCAATCAACATTTTTTAAAAAGACATCTGACAGCTGACAAAATATTTACAACACAAAGGGCTGGTAATATTGTTCATATATAAAGAATTCTAAAAAATTTAGGGAACTAGGGCCACCTGGGTGGCTCAGTGGTTAAGTGTCTGCCCTTCGGCTCAGGTTATGATCTCAGGGTCCTGGGATTGAGTCCCACATCAGGCTCTCTGCTCAGCAGGGAATCTGCATCTCCCTCTCCCTCTGTTCCTCTCCCCAGCTTGTGCTCGCACTCGCTCACTCACTGTCACTCTCTCTCAAAGTATCTTAAAAAATAATTGAGGGAATTTTAAAAAAATAGAAAAAAATGACAAAGGACATGAACAGATAATTCGCATAAATTACAAAGTGGCTTTTAAACATGAAAAGATGTTCAACTTCAGTTATAATAAGAGAAGTGGGAATTTAAAATAACACTGAATTTGTACTTGTGAGCCATGGAAGTGGCAGGACCTCAAGAGTGTACAATGTTTTCTGTCGCCAGACTCAGGAAATTGATTCTGCTGTGCTTTGTGGGTGGGAGTGCAAGTTGGGACATCCGTGTAGAGAGGAGTTTGGCAACATCTAAGAATGACATATACCACATAATACATATGCTTTGTATTCCCCCACAAGCCAGCTGTTAGGAGTTTATTCTGAAGATTCAACCCCACAAAAAAAAAAGTGCACATATACAAGGTTATTTATTACAGCCTTATTCTTTATTGGCAAATACTGGGAATAACCCAAATGCTTATACACAAGGGTATGGGTGAGTAAATGATGTACATCCATGTGAGGGAGTCCTACACATCTATAAAAAGAATAATGCAGGTCCTTATACAGACCAATTTCCAGGACACACTATTGCGGGGGGAGACATAAAAATGCCTGGAGTATGCTATTTTTTGTGTAAGAGAAAAAATATGCATGTATTTGCTCATCACTGGGGGGAAAAGGACCAGAAGGGAAGTCAGAATATGAAATCATTTGCTTTCAGTGTATAGGAGGGAATGAGGTGGGGAGGACAGAACAAATCCTGGGGCTGGGGGCTGTCACTTCCCTTTTGTACAGTTCTGACTTGGGGGATTATGTGACTGTTTCATGTACTCAAAGAAGAAATTAAATGATGATTGTAGGAAGGGGGAATGAACCAAACTCTGTTTTCAATAAATTACATAACTTCCCTGAAGGTAAGGGATGTAACTAAGGTAAGTTTTGAACAACACTGTTTAGACTGTCCTGAAGTTCAAGACGAAAATAACTCTAAACATATACTGAACTCCAGCAACTGGTTTTCTTTTTTGCAAAAATAAAGGTTAGCAATTCTGAAAAGACTTTGTGAGTGTTCTAGGATTGAACAAATGGATAAACATATTGTAAATATGTTCCACTGTCTGAGAAGGAGCTACCACTACAGGCACACCTCATCCTATTACATATCCCAGGTGTTGCATTTTTTTTTTTTTTTTTAAGATTTTATTTCTTTGTCAGAGCACAATCAGGGGGAGCGGCAGGCGAGGGAGAAGCACTGAGCAAGGACCCTGATGTGGAGCTCGATCCCAGGACTCTCAGATCATGACCTGAGCCAAAGGCAGGTCTTAACTGACTGAGCCACCCAGGTGCTTTTATTTTTTTATTTTTTATTTTTTTATTTTATTTATAAATTGAAGGTTTGGGCAACCCTGTCAATTTGATGAAAGAAAAAGCTTAAAATATTGTCCCAGATCAAAGGACGTTAAAAAGGCACAACAGCTCACTGCAGTACTGTAATAAAAGTAGATTATAAGACACCATTAGGAATTGATGAAATCTGAATAAACTATCAATTATATCAGCGGTTGGCAAACTGCAGCCTGTTGGCTGAGACCAGGCTACTGGCTGTTTTTGTAAAGAGAGTTTTATGGGAATGCAGCCATGCCCATGTATTTATGTATTGTCTATAGCTGCTTTCACACCACAAAGCAAAACTGAGTAGTTGGGACAGAGACTGACCTGCAAAGGGTAAAATATTGTCTGACCCTTTACAGAAAATTTCCCAACTTTTATATTAGAAAACTTCGTTTCAACATTAATTTCTTTGATTTTGTTGATTTTAAAAATCATCAAATGGTTATAGTTATGGAAGAAGATGTCCTTGTTTTCAGAAAATAAGCTTATTTAGAACAAAATATGTATAAACATTATTTACACTACGTATGTATGTACTTTTCACTAATATTAGAGCTATTTTTATAAGATGATTTCATCAATGAGAACCCAGATTCTCAAAATTGTTTTGCCCCATACTGTTAATATATGGAATGCATTCATTGCATAATTTTTTCAAGTTTTCTTTGTTTTTTGGGAGTTTGGTATTCCTGAGAGCAAGCCAGTTATTTTTTTAGATGTCCCTCTTTTGGGTTTTTTCTGTTGCTTCATTAGTAGATTCAGGATATACTTTTTTTTTTAAGATTTTATTTATTTGACAGAGATAGCAACAGAAAGAACACAAGCAGAGGGAGTGGGGGAGAGAGAAGAAGACACCCTGCCGGGCAAGGAGCCCAATGCGGGGCTTTAGCTCATGACATGAGCTGAAGGCAGATGCTAAACTGACTGAACCACCCAGGTGCTCCCAGGATATACATTTTTTAAAAATACATTTTACTTATCTTAGAGAATGTGTAAATGGGGGCAGAGGAGAGGGAGAGAATCTCAAGCAGACTCCCCACTGATGGAGCCTAATGTGGCACTTGAACTCATGATGCTGAGATCGTGACCTGAACAGAAACTGAGTCAGACACTTAAGCGACTGAGTGACCCAGGCACCCCAGTGTATACATTTTGACATGAATATCACAGAAGTGACATACTCTCTTCAGTTTTGTATCAGGCACATGACAGTTGAAATCCCTACATCCTTTAGTGGAGAATGCTTCTAGAAGCAATGACGGGGGCTGCTTGTGCACTTTGCTGTGAGGGTATTCTTGCTCCATGCTATCTCGGCTGGAAGTAGGAGATGTATCTGTGTGTGCACTTAATTATCTGTGTATTAGTGGTTCTTGAAAAGTCTCCTGAAGATCCTGATACTCCCTTTCTCTAATTGGGAATTGTTTAAGTTAGAGCCATCTAAAAACGAAATGCCTCCAAACTTAGGAATTATTCTCGCCCACTGTGATAATCCTAAATCATTGAGTTGTTCAAGAAGGAAGAAAGATACAGATGGATTGTAGATTTTAAGTTAAAAGCTCATGTTGAAATTTAGTGTGAACCATCTGTTTCCACCACATGCTTAACTAAACGGGGAAAACGTCTCAGCCTAGAACAAATAAAATGCTGTGTAGAGCATTACAATTGTTTTTTAATATACAGTGATGAGCTGGCAGAGGAGAAGGGACATGGCCAAAGGCTGGAAACAACTAGTCTCCTGCTCTGGAGCCTTCATCGGCTCTGGAGGCATCTGCCAAACTTGATAGCCCAGAAGCCGAGTTATTTTGTGCCACTGATGTGAAGGAAGCAGGACAAAAAACCTGATGTTTGATTAGATAAGCAAGCACAGCAAACACACATAAAGTAGGACACTTTAAAGACAGCACCCTC